AAGATACAAATGATTAAATGGGATATAGATATAGGACATTTATAAAGAAATACTAAATGGGTACAGTTCAATTAAGATGACTTTAGTGATAAAAATAAAGAAGAACTAAAAACTCGAAATAAGAATAATAAATGATTCCAAGTAGCACTACAATTAATTCTAAAAAAGTTAGTTTTGAAGAGTTAAATGAGAGTGAAAAACGGATTAAAATGATTGACTCAATCACAGAGTTCAATGAAGAAAGTGAAGCAAAGTCAAGAACAAGAAAATTAGTTGATTATATTAGAACCACAAAACCAAAAGAAATCATTGTCATTCTACAACAACATGAGAAAGTAGTTAGAATGGCAGAACATATTAATAAACAACTTGAAATAATTAATTCATATCTGAAAAGAATTCATGAAGAACCAAGTTATACTCTCATGACATACCAAGAAAAACGAACAGAAGAAATAATTTGTAAAGAGAAGTCATTTGACAATTTTATTGAAATAATAAAACAAAGTATTCAAGTTTGTCCTGAACAATCTTTCTTTAATTACTTTTTTCCAACTAGTCAATTTACATTAACAAAAATACCTCCTAAATGTGATTTAGTAATACAATACTCCTATCATTATGAAATTAATGATCAAATGAAAAACACTATCATTAACAGTCTCAATCAAAAACCATATTTTATTTTCCAATGCATTCATCCTAATAAATTCTATGATGATCCATTTGTGATGTTAAATTACAACGATTTACCACTACTCCAAAATGGTTTAATTCCACCATCATACATACAAGGAAATTGTATGGAAGAAGTTACAAAACTCGAAGGAGTTCTTATTACACCAATATTTGAGGAATATGAGAAGATGAGAATATTTGCAAGTAGAACAAAAGAATACAGAGTTATTCCATGTCAAATCACAATGAAGAATATTATCAATGATAAAGGAAAAAGAATTACTATCAAAGAAAGTATAAAAGTTGACAACAATGATATTCCTATTGTA